ACAACCCACACCCACACCCACATACATACACCCACAACCCACACCCAAAACAGACCCTCATCCTCACCGTCACCCTTGAACTGAATTTTGCATGCACGGAAGTAATATCCCTCAGAACGATAAATATAAAATCGAAATATGCAAGATTCATCAATAATGCATAAAAAAGATTGTTTATGTCTTCTCGATCTTGAAAACAGAAGCTAAAAGCTCCTGGAAAGCAGAATATGAATTTTTTCGGCACCGATAGAATCAAAGAACAGATCGTTATACTTTATAATTTTTTAAGCCCAAAATAATTGTGCTTTACAATACTGATATTAAGAGCTGTAGTTTTAAGAGAAACGTGCGCAGATGGAATAAAAGGATCAAAAGATAAAGAAGGGACCTCATACTATATACAACGCTGCTGCTCGCTAGGCTCGCCTCACTTTCTCTATTCGGTATCATTACCAATGTATCAATCAATATTGCTGCTTGTTGTTATATTGACTTTATATGCTGCTACGATAGCAGCAAATTCGCTTGAAGGTAATAGAAAGTTTCAGAGACATATGCTCAGAAAAGTATCTATTTTTATAGGTCGTGGTTTGATGAATGTATGCTATGATGAGTATGGATGTTTCACATCAGGTCCTCCATTCGGTTTGACACTTCACCGACCAATCGCTCTTTTACCTGATTCAGTAAGAGATTGATCGTGTTACATTATTTTTTGAAGTCTATATTTTATTAGCCTGAGGTGATCGACACTCGCTTTCTGCTCTACACAAGGTATAAGAAAGTCTTCGATTCGATGATAGAATTTAAAAAGTATGATTTTAGACAATTTAAGGACAAAGGTCAAGCGATCAGTCGTCACACAACACTTGGCACATGGGATCGTACCAAAGCAACAAAAATTCTGGTACACGGATTTCTTGATTCCATCAATAGTACTTGGTGGCCAGAAATGAAAGATGCCTTTCTTCAGGCTGTATGTGTTATTTTCTTTTGTGGTTTCACCCTTGTTCATCTTGATTTCGTTATATTTTGAAGGAGGACTGCAATGTCATTCTAACTGATTGGAGTCGGGCCAACTACTTTCCGTATACGAAGGCAACAGCTAATGCTCAGGTGGTTGGTGCAGACATTGCTCTCCTAGTGAATAAGATGATCAAAGAACACGGAGTTAATCCGGCTGACTTTCATATCGTCGCTCATAGTTTGGGAGCTGCTGTCGCAGGCTACGCCGGACATCGTATCAGTGGACTCGGACGCATCACAGGTTCGTTCTTTTCTTGTTTCTTTATTTATTTCTTTTAAATTTGTGAAATTCTACAGGTCTCGATCCGGCCAGTCCATTTTTTGAAAACACCGATCCAATCGTGCGTCTTGATGCAAGTGATGCAAAATTTGTTGACATTATTCATACAGATGGGTCGCCTACCCTTCTTCTTGGCTTCGGTTAGTGTAAGATTTTTTCTACATTTATATAAGTTGAGGACACTTTATATAGGCACTCTCACACAAGTGGGTGATGTCGATTTTTACCCAAATGGAGGCATGAATCAACCGTCATGTGATAAGACGTCAGCCAAACTTATTCATGCCATTCTCAACTTGGGTCCACTTGACATTTTCGGTCCTATGGATATTCAAGGTGAGTGTAACATGTACAATGTTTAATGAATCTAGAAGAAATTCAACCGAGTTGAGCGTCGTACATGTTCTGCATACAGAAAATAAATGAACATAATCAGAGACAGTGAAAGTGAGGAATATATACCGTGCAATAATTCAAAATTCGTATCATAGGTTTCTTTAACACAACAATGTGCAGCCACTTTGCTGCCGTTCATCTATTCACCAATTCGATTCTCAATCGGTGTATCTATCGAGGATTTTCATGCGAAAGTGACGAAGCTTTTCAGAAAGGAGAATGTATACTGAATGCTAACGAAGGAAATTTCATGGGCTATCATGCATCTCCAAATAAACCACGTGGACGACTCTATCTCAATACCCAGATGGCAGACAAAGCTCCCTATTGCAGTAAGTAATTTTGACGTTTGACAAACAGAAACACAATGAACATGTTTTCTGCAGTGAATCACTATCAGATTAGGTTGATGTCGGGTTCAAATTTTGTTCAAACAAAAGGTCAAATTCTTCTAACACTCACCGGTAGTCAAGCTACACAAAGTGTTCTCCTTGATTCGTGAGTCTAGATTGATACTTTAAGCAACTCTTCTTTTCATTTAGTGACGAGACATTTTTGAAACGAAACGGTATTGAAACTCGTTATATTCCACTCACAACTGATTTGGGTATGATTCAACATGTCAACGTTAAGTTCGAACGTGCAGGTCATTTGATTTCCTCACTGATCTATTCGAGCAAATGGACATTCACAAATGTGACTGTTATTGATGGCGATCGACAGATCAGGTTAGTAGAATGTTCTTCAGATGAACTTCAATTTAATTTCTACTGTATCTAGTGTGACATTCTGTCCCAAGAACGACGCCATGGTACTTGAATCTGGCGGCAGTACTGCAAGATTTTATCCATGTTAATTAACATATTATTGAAAAAAATAAAAAAAATGAGATTTTCTTTCATCCGTTCAAGATGACTAACGATATATCGAGTTGATGACTTCGACAACAGTCAATCATAAATCATAATAAAAATTGTGTAGATTTATAAAATGATCTGCATGATATTGCAAGTGATGAGGGGTAAACAGCAGAGACTTCGCTTTTGAAGTCCTCTGAAATTCCAGAAGTCTCTTAAAATCTTATGAAATCTCATGAAGTCTCTTGAGATGTTACGAAGTCATATTAAGTCTCATGAATTCTGTTAAAGTCTTATGAAGTCTTCTGAATTTTTCCGAGTAAACTTAGCGTAAAAATAATTCATAAGAAATCGAATTAAGTCGTGAGATTTTTGACGATCTTATTTTAGCAGAAATATGAAGCTTTATTGTGTTGCCAACCTGCTCGAAAAATTCGTGTTCGGTTGAACAAAAAACAATCATAATTAATAGTTCAAATACTTTTAATACAGATATTCATTTACATATGAAAGCTTGTATCAATTAGATATCAAAGTTATAAAGAATTTTAGTCTTTTTTGTTTGCTTCCATCCCTCGTGAAAGTCTATCAGTCGATGAACGAGTAGTTTTATCGGTAAATAACCAACACGCTATTTGCTTATGTATAAATTTAACGTTTTTATTTATTTGCATCTGAAAATAAGAGCTGTTCAATGCTGGATTGATCGAATCGAATATTCGTATACCATTGAAGTTCATCTTATCGGTTTTAGTTTCATTTACATCTTGCGTGTTTGTCACATCTTGTTCTTCTTCGTTAAAGTTGAACAAATCATTATTAATTTCATTACCTTCTATTATTTCATCATCATAATCAGATTCAGAAGTTGATGATGAATCTAAATTAATTTCCAGTCTAACACTGTCGAATATATTTTTACTTGAATCATGTAATTCAAAAGCAGTGTGTCTGTTTAATGTATTCAGTATATTCAAGTTACTAACTAACTCTTTTGCATGATTAAATGTAGCTAAAATTTTCATTTCAAATTACCATAAGTATTTATCTTTGAAAAAAATCGTGAAATTACGGTAACTCTATGAATAAGTTCTATATCGGTAATGAGTTGGAATTGAATTGAGTCTAATTATGATGCAAAAAAAGAGAACTATGTTGAAAACCACCAACTTTGAAACAAAAACTTTAGCTGTATTCTATTTTATTATTGAGTTTATACATATCAATAAACTATTATATACCATTATGAAAAAGAATTTCTTTTAATCGGCATCTAATAGATAGTGTGCTTTGCAAGGCACAAAGGGTGTGGGTGGGTGTGGGTGTGGGGTGGGTGTGGGTGTGAGTGTGGCTGTGGCTGTGGGTGTGAGTGCGAGTATGGGGGAGATGTGGATGTGGGTGTGGGTGTGGGTGTGGGTAGGTATAAGTGTGGGTGTGGTTATCATCTGTTCTATACATCCTCACCTACAACCACACCAATACTGGCATCCACCCACACCTTCACCGACGCCCACATCCATATTCACACTCACTCACACCCTCACCCATCCACGCCCACTCCCAAACCCATACCCACACTCACATCTATGCAAACCACTCCACGCTCACACCGACACCCGTCCAAACTCACACCGACACCCATCCAAACTCACACCCACACAAACACCCATCCACACTCACACCCACATCCACACCCATCCGCACCCACACCCACACCCACACCCACACACACCCACGCCCCACACCCATCCACACCCACACCCACACCCACACAAACACCCACACCCACACCCACCCACACTCACACCCTTATAAACATGTCATTTTTGATATCATCATAGGTTAGTAATCACCTTTTTTCTTTTTCATTTCAATTTGAAAAAGTTCATTCGCATTTGACTACTTGTCTTTAGATACTGATTTTGCCATTTTTATGTGATTGTTTTTTATTATTAACATTAAGAGACGTTCCACGAGAAAATGAACCTACTCACATATAAGCCT